ATTTGCAAAACTGTTCTTTTTTAAGATCTCAATGTGAACTTCACGTTAATAAACTTACACAAGAAATCTTAAGGTTGTAAATTTTGGGATTTGATAAAAAAATTACTTTGTTTGATACGACTTTTTGTTTTAGTATTCTTATTCCATTAAGGTATAGAATATAATTCGTTCTTATTGCGAAATAGGTGCACTATTTATCAACCTGTAATAAAAGACGTGAGGAAGTTCTGTCTTTTTTAAAGACAAACATTTTTGAGGTGAAATACCCAAAAAGAAGTTTGTAAAAAATAGCAATAGTTAGATAGTATAAACTTATTAAATCTTTCATATATATTTGTATATATATTACCATAGATTTGTAGGAAGTTTTGATACAATGAAAACACCCTATTGTTCGGGTTCCAGGCGATGCTCATGCACCGTGCGGCTGTGAGCAGTGGCAGCAATGGCACAGGAAAATTGCGGAAATAAAGCCGGAAGAACTGAGCACGGCTTGTATGGGTACAGAGGAGGCAGCAAATTGCCTCTGGTTGGTCACCAACTCGAAGCCCTGCCCGAATTGCCGCAGTCCCATTCAGAAGAACGAAGGTTGCAACCACATGAAATGCTCAAAGGTACGGGCTGTACTCTGCTTGAGGCAAATGGGTGTTGAGCGTTTAATTGCAGTGCAAATTCGACTTCTGCTGGGTTTGCCAGGAATCGTGGAAAAGACACAGCTCGGCTACGGGGGGCTACTTCAGGTGCAACCGATTTGAGGCAGTGAGGAAAGCGGATGAAAAGCAGGTAATCAAGGATTATCTGGCTCCGTTCAAGTCTTCGATAATGAGCCAATTTCCTCCAGGGCTCTCTTGTGAATGAAGCCATTGAAAAAAACACGGAGCTGCAGGAAATCACCAGATTCTTGCACTACTACACCCGCTTCCGCAACCACGAAAACAGCCAGAAAATGGAAGAACCATTGCTGACCAGCGTTCGCAAGAAAATGGAGGTGCTGGCCAGCAGTTTGGGCATCAACAAAGAAGGTAGGCAATTTAAATCATGGACATTCTTTCTGAGCAGTCTCACGCACTTTTCTCTAGAAGCTATAGAGAGCAGCACCAAATTCATAGAAGACGGAGTAAGAGAGCTGCTGAAAGCCCGAAGAGTTTTATGCGGTTCATACGCCTATGGGTACTACCTGGAGGATGATGGCTACAACAAGCATATTTTCGAGTCCATGCAGGTATTTTTTGTGCGGATAGAATCAGGTAGACGCCAGCTACATAGTTTGAGCGATTGCAGAATGAGCTGGAGGAAAGCACGGAAAAGCTGAGCGAAATGATCGCTAGGCCTTACTTGCGGACTCCAAAAGTGGTGATTATCCAAACCTCAACAACGACCAGAAGGAACCGGCATGAGTTTGTTCGGGCAATTGCTCAGGGGCTCATTCCACCTGAAACGCCTCCCACTTTGCGGAAACGAAAGCGGAAATTTGTAAGTTCTCATCGTCCTCCACGAAGAAATATTGGAGGGATTTTGTTGGTAATTCAGAATGATTTGGCCGATACTTCATCATGGCTGAAAGACTGCGAGTGGCCTGGCGGCGATTACGATACTGATGAGGAGACCGATCTGAGCGTAACTCTGAAGAAAATGATCAGATCTCCTGTGGCTGAGCACGAATGTGGTTTGCTGTGCAGCAGCCAGGGATGTGGAACCAGTATGTGCCAGGTTGAAAGCGCATTCAAGTCCAGTTGATTGAACGGTTTTTGCAGGGCCCGATTACAATGTGGAGCTGATCATTGCTCTGGAAATGTCGCGACTGCAGATGATCGAAGATCAAGTGAGGCAAACCGAGCATACGCCAATCACACCAGATCCAGGCTCCAGCATATCGACCAATAGCAACGAGAGTGCAGATGATCAGTTGAAACTTGCCATTCAGCTATCGCTGCAAGAGTCTACCAAGAAGATTCGCAGGGAGATGGAGCAGAGGGAGTTTGAAGAGCGCGTCAATGGCAAGTGATTTGGATAGGCCTGGGTAACTCAATGAATTTTTAGGAGTTGGCGCAGTGCTACGCAAATGGCTTGATTACCGGCGCAGGAACTCAGTTCCGTTGCTCGGAAAATGTTGATGAGTTTCTTAGTTTTTTTACAAACTTCTTTTT